GCAAGTTTAGTTGAATGTATTACAATCTATTAATGAAAACGTCATAAGCAACTTTACATTAGAGATCAATATGTATATGTATTGAAACATATAAATCAATAATTCCCGGGACTATGTAAGAAAAATGCGTCGGTTATAAGATTCGACTTATTATTGAGATCGCAGTCGCAGTTTTCTTCAAGAGTGATGCAATCCGTTCAACGCGTCTCTACACGATTTGTCAGGATCCTCCAAATATATGTCAATTTCCGCGACGGCCTCATCATTTCATCCTAATCTATTTCCGCAAAGCTTTGGAGATTCCCAAATGAATAATAGGCGCTTGAGGGCAGACTTCGAGAGCATAATAGGATATGGCTTTCGAGTTTGAAATAATGCAACCTTACCATTTTTGTGGTACGGTGCATTTGCTGTATCGTAAGTAAATGTGGTACGCATTTTTCTTCTTTTTATATGACCAATCACTGAGAGGAGGTTCCCTGTATGGATAACACGGTGATAGACAAAAAGAAGTGAGAAAAGAAAAAGAAATGGGGAAATGGGTCGCAGCGTAGTAGGTGGGTGTCCAACCAGTAAGTTTCATATACCCTATACCGACCCACTATAAACCCACCATAGCTACGATGAAAGTAAACTCTACCGTAATGAGATTTGAACCTGCGAACACTGACTTGATACCAGAAATTTTTATCTATTCGGCTACAGAGATCGTCTTATGGCGCGACCTAGTTCACATTACGAAACGCAGGAATGATATTATCTTTTTCCAACAGTTTAATATTTCTGAGATTATGTAGCCTTAGCCTGTATGTCCATTATTTATATTAAATATGTGCTTTGGTAATAATATTTTACTCTATTCTTGCCTTAATCCAATGATGAGAACCCTAAACCGGTTATAGCTTTCTCATGTGCAAAGTTTCAGGTAAAACAGTGAATGTGTTCGCCTTTTGATATTTCTAAGATGTCAGCTGTCTGTTGCAACTTCACTTTTCGATTATTCGGAATTATTTTCGGACTTTTTTTTTAATGTTTTCTAGTATAGCCGACTCTTTAGGACGTTCATTGTTATCTATACCCGTAACACTTCCTTCAAAATGATCAAACAATCGACAAATTCTTTTTTTCGACAGAAAATATTAGTTTATTTGGAAAGTAATATCGTTTCTCTTTTATGAAAATGAAAGAAAATTTTCTTATAGTGACGTTTCACGTCGTCATGAACGATGGAACTCGATAAATTTAATCTGTCAGAAACTTCGAGTTATTATTCGGCGGAATGCCTCTATTTCGTCGTTATCAACTGCAACTGGCCTTACGGAAAAAGAGGTTGATCTTCAAGATTGAAATTGCGGGTCGAAATTTTGCAAAGTCCAGTTCGGCACTGGTATTCTGTCAACACATCGGATAATTTTTTTCTTACTTGAACAGCATCTTTACCTTTTCGATAGAAAAAAAGTAAATTTTGTCGAAAATACTGGTTTCCACTTTCCATAAACAAAAGGGCGCCAACCTAATACTACCACATAGAATCAGTCGAACTTTGTCACAAGCAAGCCTTGCCATATCAGCTGAGACTTAAGTGTGAAGTTGGCTGTGCAAAAATACGATCCCTCCTCCTCTGTTGGGGATGAACGAAATTACTGTTGGGACAATCTTATAGTTGCCACAACACTTCTCAAGTCAACGCTGGACTTAAACGGTATTTTCTCTCATGAAACAGCAGCATATGAGCTACGGGTTTTTCCCTTGTTTTGACTATAGCGGAAGTAGTTTCACTAAAAGCACAGAAACTCGCAATGACGTGAACGGTAGCCAAGCGTTGCTTAAGGGTCGGATCTTTCTAAAAATGCTATGGATATTTGATTAGAGATAACATTTACATATCAGATCCGGCAATTATTGATCGATATATTAGTTTTATGAACAAAAGAAAAATTTAATCATTTAATTGATTTCAATTGAAATCACCAAGCTTTGTTCATTCATACTGAAATCGAATTGCTGAACAACAATTTAATGAATAACCAATTGACAGACTTTTGTTGAACGGTTCTTTATGCATAAAAGAATATTAAAAAAAAAATAAATAAATAATAATTAATTCTCTATTCCCTCCAAAACCACTATCTCAAAAGAATTCAATACACAGAGTAGCTTAATAACATTGACACAGTAATTATTAGGAAAAAAAAACAAAACAAAAAAAATAAATTTTACATAGCTTAAGCGGAATCTATTGTATTGCCTTATCACTAGCGTGCAAGAGAATTATACTAGATTTCTTCTTCTGTTTGTAACAGCAATAGATTAGAAATCGAAAAAAGTATATATATTCCTATTATATCATACACCGCGTGTGGTGCATTGGTATTTAAATTTGTGCGAACGTATGCAAAACGCCCAGTAAAGCTTAAGATAGATTTTATTATACCGATTAAATCAGAATCATTTTCTGATGCGTTCCACAAAACATCCATTCTCTCATTTCTTCGTTCATTGACGGATTCGCTTGTTCATTCATTTAATCGTTCATTCATTCACTCATTTATTTATTCATTTATTCATCGTTTCATCTATTCGTTCATTGTTTATCTATTAACACATTCATTCACTCATTCATCCTTTCATTTATTCATTCACTTATTCATTCATACATTCATTCACTCATTCATACATTCATTTATTCATT